TTCCACTTATGTCATGTGTTACCAACCATTCTTTACTACTACTATTAATCAATCTATTATTTAAAAACTAAGTAAAGTTTTATTAGACATTGAAAAAAGTCAACATAATTTTGTACTGAAAATTACTTGTTGTATTGAACATATATCCCTAATACATACACTGTTTATTCTGAAGTTTGATAAAACCAATAGCATTTAGCAAAAAATAGTTTCAGCTAATTCATTCGCTTAATCCATATTGAAGTCTACTAAAAACAATGTTAAAAGTGTTTTAGAGAAAGAAGTCGGATTAATAGACTTTCAGCCAGTTAGATCCATTTAGCTGATTAAGGTATTAAATGATTGTTTAGTTTCATTAAAGTTTGTTTATGAACGTACTAAGGAAGGATAGCCTACAGTGTGGTTTAAAATGATGTTAGGAACTTGAAGATTTGGTATTACAATATTTGTCTGAACATGTGACATAAGACGCAAAACAGTACTTAAAGCTTATTCGTTTATATATATTGATATAGATATATACATATTGCTGAACATAAGTACATTCATAGAAAACTCACATGCTGTATATGATTAAGAAGTGTTAAATTTCAATTGTTCTTAGACATATTATATCTCTGTGGTAGTTTCAGTAAGTGAATGGTATTTTTCAATTGTGATAATCGTATCAGGTGTACAGGAGACCATTTAATAGTAGAACAATTAAATTTGTTTAAAATTACATATGGTTTTATTGCACAATAAGTAGTAACACTTCTAAATATCACAAGAACACAGGGATCATTTGTTTTATGTTTACTTTGTGTTGTAACGGGTGTAACTGCAGAGTTTGATACGCAGCGTTTATTTATCGATCGATTCGGTGACAGTGGACACGTAAACATGTAAGGACGACCTGGTGCCCTGATTGGCCCTGCTTCGCTGTCTGCCCTAGCCAGTTGAGTCAAGAACACAAGTCACAGCCTCGGAGTTATGAATCATTATATTTCAAACATACTTTGTTTATATACTAGTCAAGCAGACCACAACGTACCACAAAGTAGAAAATAACATTGTACAATATTGGCCAACAGGAAAATAACACGTTAAATAAATATCGACCAATGGGAAATGTACATTTTAGGTCCAAGGACACCATTGGACTTAACATGATAATTATTGGTATATTTTTCCGACTCTCCTAACACTTTGATATAATTAATGAATCTACTCATATATAGAAAGCTATAAACAAAGCTTTACTAATTCAAACAAGCAATACATGTTACCTATCTAAATAAATGAAGTACAATAATATGTCATATGATTATGTTGTAAACTAGTTTTATTGTATTTCTTCATTAGAATGATTTAAAAGTTTTAAATCATTTCTTATACTGTTCTAATTTAAATTATATTGTATGTTTAGAATCGATGGATTGTGGCTAGAAGTGAAATCTAGCATGCAACCTTCGTCCTATTTGGGATTCATCAGCTAGATTCCATTTCTAGCCTAATCTATTTATTTTAAATAACTTGTGACATAATGGCTATATCAACGAATATGATATATGGATAGTATACGTATGTACGTACTCGAGTATCATGAAATAAATTACACGTAATGATCTAAAGACTATCGAATGGCTGATACGAAGTCTGAAGTCATGTTTATAGTCAATATACTTTAATATTCAGTACTATTAACCTGATTTAATAGCCTGCAAGTGATTAATTGAGTAATTTTCGGAGTAAAACTTATCATGAATACAAAACATTTCTATCGTTTACTTTAGTGGTTTTGTAGTGATCAAAGGCCCAGGTGAGAAAGATCAATTTATAATTCAATACAAAATTACAAAATATCTTGGTAAAATATGAAAACCATCAATCAAATACATGATTGCCACATCCTCCATCAGTTGTCCTTTACATGCTTTATGAATATTTCAATTCCGTTGTTATAATAATTATTTTCTTTTTCCCCTTTCTGTTTTCTTCAATTGAATCTCCCCAGTGTTCTGCTGGCATGCATTCCACTTCCGATTGGTGCTACATGCTACTTATATACATAAATAGTATACACCACAGTTTAATCCATCTATCTATACAACTATTAAGCACTCATAGTAATGATTTAGAAAAAATACTTATGTAAAATTCAGTTAAATTAATTGATCCTTTTACTTTTAGCTTTACTTGGAAAATACCATTGACTTATGGATCAGCAAAGACTATTAATTGGGATGAAACAGATGTCATTTGGATGATGAACAGCAAGTCATTGTTTTCTTTACCTCGTTTTTGTATATATTTACTTATTATAAGTACTAAGTGATAATTGTACTGTAGTAATATATACTAATGAATTAAATATGGGTAGGTGGAATAACCTAGGAAGTTAAGTATTGTAAAGTAGATGATTGGAAATATCAATCATAGTAATATAATGAATGTTTCTGGAATCTTGATCATGAATCATAACTATGAAAAATAGTTAGTTCACGGAAGCTATGTACATAAGTGATCAAATTGACACTGAATATTAAATTAATTTAAGCCATAAATGAACGTTAAGTGGATTTAGTTAATATCATGTAATACAAAGTTATTCTTTATAACGCTTATTTAACTATAGTAGAATTGTAAATAAAAATAATGTTTGTAGTATCCCAATGAGTAGAACTAAAATAGATTTTTCGACGTTTCGTGACTTAGTGTAAGTCACTTCTTCAGAGAATAAATAAATAGTAAAATTGTATCACTTGTAAACTAGTTAAATATATTGTTAATGTGAATGATGTTGCCAATTATTTTTAACATAAAGAAAGTATTTACTCAAACCAATCAATAGTGATAACTAAGTAAGATGTCTAAACTAAATATTATGATTGAACTACTTTAGTTAAAAGATTTTCTGAGTATAGTAGCAATTTTTTATGTCGAGTAAGCTGAGTGATTTTTCTTTGCTGTATTCAGGAATTAATAATCTAAATCTTTATATTGGAGGCATAGACATTCGATGAAATATCAATTTTTATTATATATTTTACATACACTGTCATTATAGATTCTATTGTAATATGGGGATTAGATATTGAAAATCGAATTTCGGGTAAATTTTTGTAATAAGCGAACATTATTGGTTGGAAACACAATTGTATGAACGAAGAATATTCTTTTCAATAATTTCCCATCAGGTTCTACAATAATGAATCCAAATTAATAGTCCATAAAATTGTCCAAGTTTAGGGCAGTGTACATAATTTAAAATTGTAACATGTGAATCAAGAATTGTTTGTCATATAAAATCAAGTCAAATCGTAAATGTTGGGATGACTAATATGAGGTTGTTGACTTGAATCAGCTTATAAGTGAAATGCAATGATCAGAATAAATATGATCAACATGAGGTGAGAGAGAAAATAATGGAATAAGAATCAGAAATTGCGTAATATGTAGATAGGGGTGGATGCTGGATATATATCTCAAAAAGGTTATCAGGTGTAATAATAATAATCACAATGATAAAGATAATAATAATAAGATAAGTTTGGGACATAAAAGTGAACATTAATCAAATTACGTCACTATATTATGAAATTGATTATCAACTAGTTGTTCAACAAGTATAATCCAGTGAGATAAATTTGGAAGGAGGAAAGAGAGACGAGGATTCAGGAGATTAGAATTCGGGAGAACACAAATAGTGGATGCACCTGCGCCATTGCTAACGATTTTGAGCCATGTCATTCAGGGTCTCTGACCATCGGTTGCTATCGTCTCGCGAACCCCAACCAGGTAGTCCACACCTACCAATATGACTCAGTCTACTTGTCAGTGACTTCATGGACTTGTGCCATGTTTTGGTTTGGCCGCCCCTAGCTTTCTTCCAATCTACTCCTATACCACTGAACATCGCACGTCGAGGTAGTCGGTCGTTGGGCATACGTAACACATGTCCCAGCCATCTCAACTGATAAAGTCTCACTACCTCGTCAATTGATTTGCCATCCTTAGGTAGTACCAGTTTCCTAACAACTGCATTACTTACTCGGTGGTCCCAGGATATACGAGCAATGTTTCCAAAACACCTATGATCGAATACTAGTAACCTACGAATATCCTCTTTTCTTACCGGCCATGTTTCACAACCATAAAATAGGACGGAACGAACTGCTGTGCAGTAAACTCGTTCCTTGTTTGATAGAAGGATATCTCGCCTACGCTATAAATGACGCAAGTTGGTAAAAGCTAGTCGAGCCTTCGGTATCCGTGCTGAGATTTTGTCACACACCAGACCACAAAGACTGATAAGACTCCCAAGAAAAGTGAAGCAGTCGACACGCTCAACTACTTCTCTCCCTATCATTAGTTCAAGTGCCGATGCAACCCAATCATGAAACAACATTTTGCATTTCGAGTGGGAGAATCTCATCCCGAACGTGCTTGCATTTTTGCTTACGGTGGTCAGAAGAGTCTGAATTTTGTCAGCATGTTCGCAAAATACCATGGAACCCAGGATCCTAAGGTTTCATAGCGAGAGCATTTACTTAGTGAAATCCATCGAATTTAATAGTGAAACATATATACCTCATGCAGTTGAATAGCAGGCATATAGTATTTTTGATTGGTTGAAAGTGAAAATGTGACTGATTGATTTCACCTCAATGGTCTACGGATTTCTTAATGAGGCTGAGATTTAAAAGTTCTCGGATTTCTATCATATAGCGTCATGGGCACTAAGTGCTGAGAAGTTTGGAACTAGGACAAAATATCTATGAAATCCTCTGTTGTTTGAAATGGCTCTCAGATTATGTTGATTTAGTTTAGTATATTTAATTGAACGTTAAACCTTCGTAGATTTGGATCATGTTAAATTATTTATTTGGATTTACATACACTGATGATAATACATTAACCTCTTTTCCTTCTTAAGCGATGATGTTCACTTAGGAACATATACATTCAGCAATTTCATAGCATTTCCACAAATATTTACTTTAATTTCAACAGAGACAATGACCCAAACACTAGATGTTGCAGAAAATTCTTGGTATTTATTCAACATTAAACAAGCTGGATTTTATCGTGTTCATTATGCCGACAATAACTGGGAACTATTGACAGAACAGTTGTATAAAGACCACCGTGTAAGTAGTAACCGTTATTTGAAAAATTCTTAAGATTGATCACCTTCAAAGTCTATACAAAGATAATTACTTTGATAAACTAGCGTATGATTGTGAATTATCTGTCAACAGTTTATCCAATTAAGGTTGTATAGATGTCACAATAATTATAATGATTTAGACTTAATAACATTTTATTTATAGCAAAGTAATATTTGAAATCGTTTTAGCCACATAGTGAACAATCATTTTTATTCTTATTGAGATCGTGAATCAACCAAAGTTAGACCATTATTGAAAACCTGAAAGCACTAGACTATCGTTTTCTAATATTATTGGACTCCTTAGTAGTCCACATGTACGATCCTGCACGTGAGATTCGAACCCAGAATCTTCGTTCTCGAGGGAATGCTTAACCTCTAGACTACTAAGGTGGCATCCAACGATGTTAATATCTAACTTGAACCAATTCACAGTAACATCGACCGATTCATGGTCACAATAAAAACTTAACAATCTCCACAACTTTACTGATCATCACTTTGTATTTACTAAATAAAAAATTAATTGATTCGATATTTTCTATGATTAGGCTATTCCACTTCATTCAAGAACACAAATTTTGGATGACTTATTCAACTTAGCAAAGTAAGTGTACTCAACTATATTTATTGTTTGACATAATATCATATGGTATCCATTCGATTGAAATTAAAATTTTATTATTTACATATTTAAATGAACAGTTTCTTATCACACGATCTTTGAAGATATAAATCTACGGGATGGGGACGCTAACCCCATGATCAACCCTCCTCCTTTATCCGGGCTTGGGACTGGCAGTAGCCCCCAGAGGGACTCCAGGCGGAGTTAACCTAACAATAAGTTTCAACTGAATTAATATGATACATTGAAAACAATAGATATCTAACATGAACCCCTACAAGATCACTTTCCATAATGATATTTCAGAGAAATTCTATAAGGTGATGATTTAAACAGTATGATCATGATACAAAAATGCAAGAAGTCTGTTATGATAATAACAATAATTGTATAATGTTAAATTAAAATTTTTCATCAGAAGGAACAGCTAGGATTAATATAAAATAATGAGTTCGTATCACTCAAGTGAACCAAAGAGTTTAGATTAGGGATACTGTTACAGTCAGAAAAGTGCCTCAAAGATAAGAGGTGTGAAAAAGTGACTGTTTTCGGACTTACAAGGAAGATTTCTTTGAATTTATTCTCAACTTCTTCAAATACTGTTGCATATAAAAGGCTTTATCGTCTCTTCTTAGATAAACTATTAGTAACTTGATTTTAAATGCATAATGCTTCATGATGTTTACTGTTTAATGAACGAGAAGTGATGAAGGCTATATTTGTTGAACTATTATGAGTATAATGATAACAAGGTTAAGTAAATTTACTAAATTCTATTTGTGCATTGTTGACCGACTTGCACATCATTTACAAATGTCCACTGACCATTTGTGTTTTCAATATAGTGACAGAAAACAATTCTTTTGTTTATTTATCACTATCGTACAATTTATCCACTGTGAATCACATTGTTGCTACCTTGTACAACCTTGTTACAAACCACAATTTTCATCATAAAACTAACAGCTAACACTTATCAACGTTGGATGTTTCTTCTGATTCGATAATGTAAAAATACTTCTTAATGTTTTTAAATAAAGATTTTATATTGTTAACAATTTCTGTAAAAGTTAGAAGTTCATTAACAGTTCTGTTGAAACTGTTTTTGTTTTGTTTAAGTTACTTATGGTTCAGTATGATACCTGTTAAATTACTACAATAATAAATCAAACTAACCAGGTTATAGTCGTATATAAGGAGTAAACTTGTGTTTATTTTTCTTGGTAAGCGGTAAATAGTAAACAATAATTTCATAACAAAAATGTAACGACTACTTTCGATCAGAATTAATCGCTAATAAAATAGAAACCAATGGAAATTCGTTGGAACCATCCGGTTAGTAATTAAAATCCACATGTGTACAAAATTTACTTCTATACATGTTAAATTGTATGGCATAATTAAACTGTATTGAGTTGACCTAAACAGGAAAACTAGTTAGAATTAATTAATTGATCGACAAGAATATAATTAGTGGTTACAAGAGTTTTCTACCGTAGGTTTCGTTGATGAATGACCTAACAAAGATTTATATTACCTATTTCGTTTGCAAGTGTATCATCAGTACAAAATTATACTTTAATTATGTGAATTTACCATGTATACGATTTTTCTAAAGTCTACCTTTTCTCATTATTAAATATTTAAAGTCGTGCTACTGTCTCATACGATGTCTACTTAAATCTGACAAAATATTTGAAAAAAGAAGATCAGTATGTTGTATGGGAAACGACTCGACGAGCACTATCTTATTTAGACCGTATGCTTGCCATGGACGAGAGTTATGGAGCTTTTCAAGCATATTTGCGTACGCTTGTAGATGATCCTCTTAAATCAGTGAAGTGGACAACAATGAAAGAAGACAAAGATCATATGAAGCTGTAGGTTACGTAAATGTTTTTAAACTGTGTTCTGTATCCATTTCATTAGATGATAACCACCTAGAGCCTATGAAAATATGTTGCCTAGTGCAAACGAATATTATTTATTCTGATTTAGTGGAGTATGTTGGATACAGAATCCATAGAATGAGAGAAGTTGGTGAGACTATAGTTTATGGACAGCCTTATAACGACTCTAACATGACCTTGGAATGTCTACTTACTTGTGTTAAATAAGGCTTATACATTAGTGTGAGGAATTAGAATTAGGATTTACATTTAGATGTTCTCGTTAGGAATTCGACCTAACCTTTTCATCACTAACCGACATGAGCTATAATACCAAACTCATACAAGCCAAATGAGTGAATGAATTTCGCGCCAAAATCTAACATGTGTTATCTTAAATCTGGTTCATCCATATATTATAGTCTCGCCGGACAAATAATTATATTATCACTATATCATATTAAACATATTCGTTCAGTGTTCATAATTCTGACATGGAGTTACCTTCACTAACGTACGGGGTGTTTTTATATCGATATGTAATCATATTTATACTTGCCTGTACACTTTCCATTTGTATTTTAACACTATTCTGTGTGATGATACTGGTTTTATGATTTGATTTGTCTCATGAACAAAACAATGTAAGTTTACTTATTTGTCTCTCAATGAATGAAGTATTTCTTTAGGGCTAAATATCTTAGGATATATTTGGAAAAGAGGATTTTAAAGAAACTTGTCAGGTTTGCAATCTTAGCTTGCTCATTATCAGTTGTACAAGCCTCAGCCAATAAAAATGGTTGAGATAAAATATTCAACTCATTCTGAAGGTAGACAGCCTATATTGTAAATTTAATTCTATGGCAGTCTCGTACAAGCTTTTCAATGAAATATAATCTAACATCAAAGTTATCGAACATGGTCATACCAGTTGTATATTTGGTTCTCTGATTAACTGTATACTAATTAGGTCATCCAATCAACGTTATACAACCTTATGAGTAGGTATTCGCGTTAGTGTGTAAGAGACATGTGATGTGAGATGAAAAGTGTGTCAAGATAACACATTGTGTGTATTCGTAAATGGTGTGAGAAGAAATTTCACTCAATATTTACCGCCTCTGATCGGTGAAATTTGAGAAAACATACAATTTTCTTATATTATATGAATCCAATGTCACATCATTCATAAAATGAAGATAAATAAACAAAATAAAGGGATGAGTGTTTATGTTAGTTTTATTATTCCAGTTAATTGTTTATTATATTCAGATTAGACAACTGATTAGAACAATTGAATGTAATTATTGTTGAAACTTCATTTATTTCACCGGTTGTGCTTGTTTTTTATTTAAGTATGTTGCGCCTGACATTAACTCGTCTAGCATGTCAAGCTGAACATCATTCATGCGTTAAAATGGCTACGGAATATTACAGAAATTGGATGCTTAATCCTTCACAAAATTTGTAAGTTACCTGTTGAACTGTTATGATTTTGAAATAATTACTAAGTGAAATTTAGAAAAATTACATTCTTAGACATGTCCTGCTTTGGATCTATTAAATGCAAGGTACTGGCGACCAACAAGTTGTATATCATTCACTTGTATTGACTGGTCCATATCTATGGAATTTGTATATCAGTTGTTAACTTGTGGACTGCTTCAAATAACTTAATTCTTTTGTTCAGTTTTATTTCCGCCTTGAACGAATAAAGTTATTTTTATCATAAAATTTGTGATATTGTTTACTCTACATGTAGTACTATCCATTATCCTCTAATTTTTCATCCGTTTTATGTTTAAGGATCCCACCAAGTTTGAGGCCAGCTGTTTATTGCACAGCAATTAGAATCGGTGGACAAAAAGAATGGGAGTTCCTAAAACAACGTTTATTAGAAGTGGATATAAAAGAGGATGAGAAAAATAGTATTTTACAGGCATTGTCTTGTTCTCGTGATATGTGGATAATAAGACTGTGAGTTATATTACATTTCATTTGTTGTTGCTTTCGATTGTCAGCTTCCAATAAATTAAATAAATGGTTCCTGTTCTAGTACAATATATGTAAACATATATGAGTCAATATAATACATGGATTGTTTCGTGATATATTGACTGTCTAATACATATTTCGTGCTGTTCTATCTATATGATCATTAAACTATCAGTAATTTTCACCATATATATCTCTCAATATCGTTTGATCATTCATAGTTTTGTGTTTATGTAATTTAATTCATCGGTTTTAGTAATCGCTGTTTTTTTCAGGTGCTTTTGATAGTACGTAGTAAGACGCTTTCATTATATGAGGTTTAGTGTTTTATGAGTAATCAATTGCTTAATGTTAGCTTTCTGTCATCAGACCACTCAGTCAGCGTTTGTTAATCCAGCTAACGAGTTTGCTTATAATATTAAAATTTATATATGTCACCGATACGGGGTATTATGGGTTAAAATTACACGTAATGAAGCAAACTAATATTTAAAGAATGTTTAGTGTATGATCATATTGAAATAGCAACGCCGTAACAATAACCACTAGTTATGAGATGTGTCCTTTCATTTAGCCTAACAAAGTTTGGAGTTCAAATAACAAGAGAAAATGACAAAAAATGATTTATAAACTGTGTGTGATTTCAATCTGACACGACATTTATCGACAAAACGAACAAAATTTGAATACCAGTATAGGATTGTGGAGATTGTTGAGTTTTGCTTAATTGATATCATGAAATGATCAATGTCAGGTCACCATTGAATACATGGAAGTACTGGACGTCTGTTTCGTCCAAGTTTGGAACTCCTCAGCAGTTCACTGTCCAGCTCGTCGAAGCTTTCAATGGTTGTTTAATATTGATCAGTTCATGCTCCAAATTTAAAAAATTTGAATAACCATTTTGCTTAAATAATAATAAAATATTTGTATCTCTTTCAAATATTCGATTACCTACTTCGTTTACTTCCTATTACCTGAATAATTCAAAATTAAATACAAATACATACTTTTGTTGAAATCGACTAATACTTTTCATGTTATCGATAATTTAGACATTTGGAATGGGTCATAAAAAACAATCAAAACAATCCTCAGGATTTATTGGATGCACTTTCATCTGTGGCATTGTATCCTATCGGCCAGACACTTCTATGGGAACATATTCGTGAAGCGTGGAGATTTATAATGAATGAGTAAGAATTAGTGTAGATTAATGAATGTTCTTTAATATTTTAAATGAAAATCATTTCACCTACTTCATTAGTAATAACAGTATTAGTTTAACTATTCTTTAAGCTTGGATACTGCGATAAGATGATGAACGTTCTCAGAATTATGTGATATATTTGCACAACACATTTTGAGCACAAAACGGTGGCTTCAGTTTTCGTATAGTTATCACTTCGATAAACCTTAGTATATTCTCTTGAACACTTCTGAACAACACTACGAACGCTGTCTTGATATTGAACGTTTGATAGGTCTCAATAAGTCGATTCCTAGTGAAGGAAGATATTTGTCGCTTCTGTGATCTTGTCTGATGCTTGGGATTCATTCGATTTCATAGCCAACTAGTTGTATACATCAACCCTTACCAGCAGATCGAGATTATTTCTCGTATTTATGTGTTTCAGCACATGCATGTAAACTGATAGATGGAATGAGTTGTGGTACAATTAGTCACATGCTTTTTGAGTATTTATTGAAACATAGACCTAGAATTTTTGATGTTGATGAGTCCTACCAAAGACCATATGAGTTACCTCTTAATGGTGTAGTAATATAGACTCGCTTCTTGGATGCCGAGAACTTAGTACTTCTTATTACATCTTTGCTCTACCAACGCTTTATAAACTCAAGTTAGTAACTGTCATTCGTCAGTGCTTCAGTAAAGACATTTACTTCTCTCTCTCAACTGCATCGTTAGTGCAAATTCGATAGATCCTTCTGAATAAGCTCCTTGTTAATCCACGTTTGTACCGGATTGAACATTGATTATAAAATGTTAGATTCTATATACAGTTAATACAATTTCATGATACACGAAAAAATAATAAATTTAGCTGCAAACTCTGGGCGTAATAATGAGTAAGTAATACAATTGGTTTGCACAAAAACACTTAAAATTATTCCTTCCATCAACATTTGTTTCATATTTGGACTATCCAGTTTACCTTCGTAGATAATATCACATTAATATTAATGATTACAGAGGGTCATATGAGAGTTTGGCAATAAATCTTATTCGTTATATTAGAATCGTAATAAGGAAGTAATTAACATTGTTTCCATTGTATTAACAATAAAAGTTATTGATTTGCAAAAATCGAATCTAGAGTTCCTTCATATCGGTATTCTGTTTTCACTTTCATACATGTATGGAGTTAACACGCTGACACAAGTATAGATAAACACAGCATGGTTAACTCAAATGGCTGTTTCTGTACACAGTAAACTAAAAGTACCTAATTAAGTTAAAAATAGAAGAGTGGAAAGTGACATTTTGCTTAATGAATTTAACCGTCGAATCCATAATATATTTTCTAATGTCAACGAAGAATTGATACTCAATCTGAAAGGCATATAGGCACTAGGATTTCGTTGACACATTTTGAATCCATAGGGTGTATAATAAGTATCTATGATTAGCATAGATCATGGTCTATTTGGAACGGAAGGAAACCTAAGTAATGACTGCATTCTGTCAGTAATATAGGGAACAAGGTTTGCCATATTCTCGAATTTCCATCATCCAAATACTGTTTTTCTGTCACATTATTTTACATATCTTGGTAGGTAGTATTAGTTCTACAATACAAATATATTAGGCAGAATCACTTTGATATATATTTCGGAGTTCGTCTGCTTTTACAAGCAAGCATAGTTTGAATAGGAGATATATATATACCCGAGCAAACCAATTCTTTCACCTCTGCATTGTTCAAGTAGTTTATGTATGATTTCAATTCAGTAATTACTTGCTTACTATCGCTTGTTATCCCTCGTTGGAGAGCATAGGACACTCACCAGGATTCTACATCCAACTTTTACCTTGGCCATCCTTTCCAATTGTTCATAATTGCTATTCATTCTTTTGATGTCTGCCACATATTCGTTCAGCAATAATACAGTTAAACGTACTTGTTTATATTTAATTAAATTATTACGTTTTTGTGATTATGAATATACTTCAGCCTCATTCACAGTTTACATCAAACAACGTGTACAGTTACTGAACTAAAAATTGTTAAGTTACATGTTAGGAAATTTAATTTAATTACCATGTAGATGGAAAATACATTGACATGGTTTGTTTTGACATGAACGAATGAATAGTTTTATGGTGTCAATAATACTAGTCATTTCACCACCTGTTAGTTCGATAATGTTTTCCAGGTTGTATGAGGTTGTGATTCAGGAAAATTCATTTCTAGCATTCAATCATCTTTTTATGTTTTTGTTGGTGAAACAACATCCATTATTATAAGCAATTCAGTTTAGTCAACTCCTGTTCGAATTGTTCATTCATTGATGAAATCCAAATTATTAAACACTTTAGGCTATAATTCATACAACTAAACTACTAACGGGATATGATAGTGTGGAGATATGACTGACAAGCTTATTTTGTAAATAGTTTTTAATATTATTTGTATTTGTTTTGTCAGTTTTTCACTGTATGTACATTTACCATTAAATGACTGTACGTGTTGTTTTAGTCAATGACCTTGAAGACTCTTTCCGTTGTGATTCAAACATAGTGTGACATATTCTTTCTGGCTAACAAATACATTACTACTCACACATCCCTCGTTCTATTTTCGTTTGTGATTGAGTTAGCTGAAGTCTAAATCAAAAATTGTCATTATTTATAGACTGTAATTGGAATATATCACATTCTACGTGGGATTATATCACTAGAGAGTTCGCCAACCTGCTCAGAATCATCAAACATTTATAATTGTGGATTTACATTACCGGACGTAATCAGAACACGCAACGTTTGGTCAATTTAAGTAACGTCCCTAATTTTTTATTGTATTTGTAACATTTAACTTGTATATATTAATATTCCTATTGATTGTTATTAACTTTGTTGATACCTCTTGCGTTTATATATTGTCTGGTCCACCACAATAATGTTAACAGAATGGATAGAACATCAGGTAAGTGATTCTGCAGTCAATAGAAAGTGTATCATGATATGAATTTTGTTTATTTGTCTTATTTTGCAGGTGTGTACCAACTGTAATCCTTAAAATACTATCCAAACGCCATTACACACTAAATAACATACCGGATCAAGAAGAAGTTAGTTCAATTTTCTCTTAAATTCTTATTAATTTTATAAATTTAGTCACTAAGTATATGACGTTGGATGTTTTGAAGTGAAGGTTGTTTTTCTGTATAACACTTAATCAATAGTTATCACTGTTATATATTACCAAGATGAACACATAAACTGGCATATCCTTGAATTAGTTTAAGCAAGTACATTACTATGGCGTACACTGCAAAAAATGGTAAAAGCCAGTTAACATCGATAAACCTTCAAAAATCTGTTTCGTTGAGAAATTGAAAACATTGACGTTGTTTCAGTGGTGCCAATAAACCCTTAACAATTGGCTTAAGTACTAATCACTAGACTTTAAGACTTTAGTGCACTTTTGGAGACAATCACAAAGTTGTATCTTAACAAAAGTTATTTCTAGATTGATGACATTTTTCGATTTCTATATAGACGGAATATATTGGTGTTTTGGATGTCTTTACACAAGAATAAATTTATATTTATGACGTGGAGGTTTTGCAGCTTAGTTGGATGAGCTGAGTGATGTGATTTCGTTAAGGTTGATAATTTAGTAGTGTTTTGATTATCATTATCGACACTGTCAGCCGCATAAGTTTTATTTGATGCGATAAGATGTTACAAATCCAGGGAAGAAGTTTTGTAACTACATTTTCTGACGGTTTATTAGTTGGTGGATTTATCATTTCAAAGATTCCACTCAAGATATATGCTTCATATCTTGGACCAACAGCAATCCGATTCACAGATTGAGGTGTTTTCACCCCACTCGCTCGACCTGATTACTACCATACTAGTCAACCTAATATATTTGGTGGTTATTAAGTTTTTGTTTTTCGAATTATTGAATACAAATGGTTGACTTTTAATTCACTAGGTACTTGCTATGCAAAATTCTGGACAAAAGCTACTTGAAAATCATGTTCTGAAACGTGGATTAAATGATTTGTTTAAAAGGTCGAAGGAAAACATGAAATGGACAAAAACTCATCGTGATGTTATCAGTAATTGGTTGAATAAAAATGTTCCCAATACAATCACATTACTCTGAATGCATTTCTTTCAGACTAATCAACAATTTCACTATTAGCCAGTTTTATTCTGTTGAATTAATTGATTACTGGTTTGTCAATTCACAGATCTATCAATCGATCTATCAATCAATTCATCTGTACTTGTGTCTCTGTAACAAAATACTCATTTTTCTTGTTTCCCTCTTATTCCATGTTACGTATTCATATTTCGGTTTTCATGTGGTCTTATTATTAATAATATTATTATTGTTTTGAATGTTCTAATATCCATTCGTCACTGGAACGTATATACATGTGTACAATGGTTCGATCGTACATATATTCATTCTACTATTATTGGCAATACACATTTTTCTTTATTACAGATGGACAAGAATATGTTTTATAGTGCAAGGATGATATAAAAATGGATATACAAGCTCGGTTACTTTATGAATAATTGCTATTATTGTTACTATTATCGTTATTAGTATTGTTATTATTATCGTTATTGTTATTAATACTACTATTAATTATGATAGCTATTAACCAGAATGCATGCTTATCTGTAAAGGTATATTGGTTGAATTTTTATGATCTGATAACACTTCGAAAAGTTGATCTTGTGTGTAACTAGTACTTATACTCCATAAAAATGATAAGATTGTTTGTGTTTTCAAGTGTTTGTTCATCAAGATTTTGAAACTTATATACATATATTAAATAATGTAATTTACATCCTCTTAGTTTGAGAAATTCTCTGGAGTTTTAGCGACAAATGACCGAGAAATTTAAATTATGGCATATTCAACTGCGATTTGCTCTACCCAACAATCTGTGAATCCGGCGTTCGTAGACTTTAATTTAATGTTTGTTCTTACTAACGTACTCTCTGTAGTACCGAAGCAGTTACATCTGTGTCCGACTTCGATGCTTCAGCTGGTATACTGTCAAGTCCTTTATTGAATCTTGCCTAGCGTTTCGATAGAGATCCTGACACGTTGAAGTTAATACTTGTTTGATCCCTCTCGAATTGTCCTCCATCGTAGTTTTTCTTCTTTCAGTAGATCCTTTTATGCTTAGAACCTGTTGTTGAGAGTTAACTTGAATTTGCTTGGCTTGTCAGTATGTCAAAAGAATGTGTGTTTTGAGCATTTATGATTCTGTTAGGCAGCTCTACCTTGCTTCATTTGCTGCAGTTTCACCTTGGCTATTACCACGTGTTGATTTGAGGCTGTCAGCTCTTCTCCTGATTCTTTTGCCGTCCATTGAGCTTGTGAAATTTTCACTGATAAAAATACGGGCAAGCTGGGTGGACAAAATGTGATCCGGAGAGATCAATGTAGATATGTGAATGGGCGGGTGAGAGAATATTGTGTCGCCTATAACCATATGGTTGAATACGCATAAAATATCAAATTTTACAGAATTTTCGTCCATTTCTCTCGGAGCATTTCGTTCCTAGATAGCATAATACCCTGTGTTGACAAATCCGACTTCGACGTTAAGCCATACATTAGGACGGTCAGGTATTTCCATATAAATAAACACTAAAGTGGTTCGCACATCATTTTCCACAACCAAAATGTTCACTGGGTTCTTGAGATTAGATAATTGTCAATAAACGACAATATTATCTACAATTATCAGACAGTGGTTGGCACAGTTCTCTTTTATAGATATCTTGCTAACAAATAACAAATGAGGTCACAGAAAAAACGTGATCTCTTTAAAAGCGTCTAACAGTTCGGAACAATTTCACGCTCACAGACCGTGATCTAAACTTATAAGAATCAAGTGAACGAAATGAATCATGTCTAGTGAACTGTTGACCTTTAAACAGTGTTAAGCTACATGGCAGTGGTCATATGCAATGTTGGACTTGATTGCTTGACCTCTATTGTCTCTTTTCAAAGCATTTGTGAATGCTGGTCATTGTTCTCCTAAACACTCTACATCTCTATTTTCGGTTTATGACGGTTTTATAGCACGTGGACTATTAAGCTGACTTTGTGATTATTCGTCTATTTTCTTTGATTTTTCATCAAATGTCAATATCAACACGTATTGAAAATATTTTCACGCGTCCAAACTGAATCAATATGAATGTTCAATTTGACAAATAAGTTGCATCAAACATCGTAGCCACTTTGACAAGAAACACTTGTTCTTTGGTTACACTGATATAAATTTCTGATGATTAGTGTTTGCTGTTTTCATTTGCTCCATAAAATTGTTCAGAGTAATATTATGAGAGTGTAAATGTATCATTCGTTGATCACGTTTGACATAATCAGTGTGTTTATCATGCTTATTCTTCTGAATGATGCGGGTTTAATATGTGACCAGGGCTTTTGTGAACAACATTTTGAGTAACATTTTCACTAGTGTTCAAGATTTGACTACGTCCAAAAACCAGCCAATACATCTCTTGAGGCATTTCGGTACTCCTATTACAAATCGGATGACTTAGTATGAAGTCAGATTCAATGCTGAATTGATGGTGTGACGGAAAATGGAGTAGACTGTTGTTTGACTAAGTGGAAACTGTAAAACTGAATTCATGGTCATTCCGACAATTTTACTATCGCCATTCGAGACACTTTACAACAGATCCGATTTCAAATAGACGGACGGCAGCCGGTTGAGCATATGTAGGATTCTTAATTTTTCAGTTTTTATTTGTTGTTTGATTGCTGTCACCTTTTACAGTTGAAATCTGAAGCTCTCATGAATGTCGTACGGTGTTGTATATCTCATGTGCTTGAACTAGCCATGTCTGGAGATCATATACATTGAAACAACCAAACTATGTGGATTCCTATAAACCTCTGGATGGGTTGGCATTGGTGAAGTTCAAACAATTCGAAACAGTCTTTTCTGATTGACATACGATTTGACACAACAGTGAACATCTCATTAATTCACTTCACGAAGTCTGTTGAGATAAAATTAATGATAAAATTAATTGTTCTTCTCAATGAGGGATACGGTTAACAGTGTCTGATGTTATATTCGATTTAAAGATTTCAGTGAATATAGAGACAGAATAAATTATGACATTGTATTTGTTTGTTAGGAATGTTGATACTAATCTATTACATCGAAACTCCAGCATTGTAAACTTATTTGAAACTAGTAACCTAAGTAAGACACATATTTGTGCTAAACGTTTATGGAGAATAGATATTTTTTGTATGAAACTAAGGTTATTTTGAATGAAAACATCCTCAGTTTTTAAGTTTATGTCAATTCAATCTACAATTCAAAGTTATTGATCAATACATTATCTGCCCGACATTAAGCGATATGCAATAAACATCGAAAACATTTATAACTGATTATCGGTATCACTTTTCAGTATTTTATGGTGTTGAATTGTACTCCAAGTTATACGTGCGAGTGACTTCCGTAATATTTCATAGGTTGTTCAAAACTTGAGAACGATCGATTCGCGAGGAGCAGGGTGGTTTTTGTTCTGGCCGAGGATGTATTGATCAGGTCAATTCACGTTTGGTAAAAGCCAGAGAGACTTTTGCCAATCTGAGCCATCTTTGATGCCTTCGTGGTGTTAGTCTAGCTGTAAAAGTTTGGATGTACAACGCGTCGGTGAGAGTAGTTTCGCTCTATGCTTGTGAAACCTGACCTCGGAGAGGTCAGGATCTCTGATCATCGTTGTCTCTGAAAGATTGTTGACATCCAGTGGCAACACCATGTTAGTAATTCAGAGGTTGGACATCATGCGCTCGTGCATAGCGACGATAATTCAATTAGTGTCACTATCTCGAAACATCGACTTCGTGGTCTTGGACATGTTCTGCAAATGTCGTACCAGATAATTCCTCGTTGTGTGTTATTTCCCAGCGTTGAGACTAGTAGAAAAAAGGGAGGGCTGGTCAGTGTAGAACATGGTGTCGTGGTACGGAAGAAAGCTGCAAAAGGTTGGCTTTTGTTGGTCCTTCAAGACTCCCTGGTTGGGGTGCTAGAGATGGCACAACACAATGACTAGAGACGTTATCATATATGGCTCGGGATAGAAGTCAGTGGCGATCCTGCTGTAACCTTTGTTTACTTCGTTCATAAAAATTGGCCGTAACTCATTTATCTGAAAGAGTTCTTTCACTACCATACACTAATTTGTAGTCGTTGTTGCTTTTTATTATTTTTATACGCACATTACATTCTTTATCTCTTTTCATTGATATTGTGTGGTGCATATGTATCTTGTGCCTCTTGTACCAATATTTATGTGTTCAAATAAATAAATAGATAAGTACTCATAAGTATTCAAAGATAAAAGTCTTTTTTCATTCGTTCTAGTTGTACGTCGTTATTTTTAGTTCTCTTATTTACTGATACAACTATTGTCAGTACAGTGATACTGATTTGACCATGTTGCGCGTGTCTTTGTTGAGAATATGGTTATTTTAATGAGGCTATCACTCCAAATGTGAGTTTCGCAATCCAAGCAGATTGTTTATTTATTATGGGACCATTAATTATATAAATATCTACATTTACGAATAAATATTCAGAGGTGCTAAACCGTTTCCTTGCCCTATCGCATCTGAGACGTTCTAATGCCTCCGGTAGTTTTTCAAACAGTGATAAAAAACACATATTCTATCAGAAAGAAGTTCATGAGAATGTGGAATTTCATTCAAACCATGAACAGTTCAGTGTTGGACTACCAATGAAAAATTTGAATCAGTGTGCGATCGTTTCGTCCTAACATGCGTGATTTAATGTATTAGATTTCCACTGTTGGTCTGTGAGCAATGGAGCGGATGTTGTCCGAGTGTGAGGTGGTTACCTATTCAAGACAGTGGAGATGGTCGCCCAATATCGTGGACGGGTTGAGGTTGTTCTAAAACACCGTTAGATTCTGTTCAATGGTGTAGATGTTAGGCGCGAATGCGCATCACTGAATTTCCTCATTTCGATTATCGTGGACAGGGTTGTGGATGTTAAATCCTGAAATGCCCATTCTACGAGGAAACGACAGTCCACTGATTTTATGTTTTCAATAGTGGTCTAA